GAGGTCCTGGGAGTAGCGACATCAGTACCTTTTGGTTTCCCCGGGAGGTGCCCCTGGCCCGGGGTGCCACCAGGATGTCCGAGGAACACCCCGCGGTCTGCAGAGCACCCCCCGCGAGGCCCAGAGGGCTGGCCCCGTAGGCTCCGAGAGTGAGCGACAAGTTGGGGGCACCTTGGGCCAGGGGCGCATCTTTAGCACCCCCCGGATCCTCTCCCCTCCCTCCTATGCCCTCTTCGTTCCTCCTTCGCCCGGCTGCGCCCGCCAGTCCAGTCGGCACGAAGAGGGCAAGAAGGACCACCCCCAGCCGACTGCCGGAGGTGGGGCAGCACGGTCAACGCGCCTAGTATTGTGGAAGACGACCAACGGAGAGGAGGCGTTTTACCAAAAACTTCGCAGATGTCTCAAACATGTGGTAAACATGTTTCTCAAGTGCCAATACCTGTGTTGTCATGTTTCGAACATGGGTAAACATGTAGAGTACAAAAAAGACATGTGAAATTCAATCATCGAGTCTTAGGTAACTATCCATTGTCATGGCATTCGCAAGCATAGTAAGGACGCGTACCTTCATCTAGGGTGCCCTTGTGTCCGTGCCTCTGCGTCCCGCCCTATGCCGTTTTCCCTGGTCGTCCGCCGCCCGACAAAATCCCAGCTTCGGCCTCCAGGGGTCTTGCGTCCTTACCACCTGTCCTCAATACACGTTTTGACCGTACTGCAGGGAGAGGAGGAAGATGAGGGTTTCACATGTGTTTCGCTTGTGTGTTTGGGCCTTCTGGGGGACCCTCGTGGTGGCGGCACGTTTCGCTTCGAAATCTTTGTCAGATTGTCAGAAAGCGTTTCAGGAGAGGCCCGAGGGTCGACTTCGGAGGATGGCGTGGAGGAGGACGAGCCGAGGAGTGATGAGAGGGCAACTGGTGAGATGAATTAGTGAGCCATTTCCTGGCCTGGCCCATCCTGGTGGGTCTTCTCATTACCCACTCCAGGGCCCAAGATGGGTCTGACCACGACTGGTGGCAGTGTGTAGTTTCCCATTTCTGATGGTGGATGTGAAGGGGTCGCGACTGGGCAATTGGGGGAAGAAGGGAGACGGAGAAGGGGATGGTATAGGGGGAGGAGCTCCTCACCCCGCTCCCTGCCCCGCCCCTTGTCCTTCCGGTCGCTCGGGTTGCTCACGCTACTTCTCCAGCTCCTGCCGCCCGTGCTGGCGCTGCTGATTCCCCGCCTCTTTCCTCGCTCCTCCTCCTCCTCCTCCTCCTCCTCCTTCTCCTCCTCCGCCTCCTCCTCCTCCTCGTCCTCCTCCTCGTCCTCTTCCCTTTCCTACTCCTCCTCCTCCTCATTTTCCTCCTCCTCCTCCTCCTCCGCCTCCGCCTCCGCCTCCGCCTCCGCCTCCGCCTCCTCCTCCTCCTCCTCCTCCTCCTCCTCCTCTTCCCTTTCCTCCTGGACTCATCCTGAACGCGAACAAGGTTGTCCGCGCCACCTGCCACTTACGCCACCGCATGGCCACAGCCAGAGGCGGGTGGCGCCTCCCGAACAGTGCCCAGAAATGAAAGGCAAGGCCAGCACACAGCAGGCTGGCGGATATGAAAGCCGCGCTGGGCATGGCGCAGCACTGCACTAGAGCGGTTGCACCACTCCTGCACGGATCAAGGAAGCTGTGCGCAGCGGATCCTCGAGGTACCGCCACACACGATTGACTTGAAAGCGTGCAGGCGCACGCGTGAGGCCCGAGAGGACACGGGCGCCCCACGTGCCTGGAGCAGGGGGGCCTCGACAGCCCTGCGACAAGTTCGCAGAGATCTTGACCCCTCCCAGCCCGCACACAACGCACACAGTACACCACAACCTCCGCCCCCTCCTCCTCCGCCTCGTCCTCCTCCTCGTCCTCCTCCTCCTCCTCCTCCTTTCCCCCCTCTCGAGGCTGGAAGTTCCCTGCGCTCCTCTTCCTCCTCCTCCTCCTCCTCCTTCTCCTCCTTCTCCTCCTCCTCCTCCTCCTTGAAGTTAGCTGATGCTCCTCCCACTTGGAGGTAGACCTCAGCCCTTACGAACTGGACCTCCTGCTCGGGCTCTGCCCTTGCAGGCGTCGCAACGGTCCGTGTTGTCCTTCTCCACTTCCTCCTCGGCCTCCTCCTCCTCCTCCGCCTCCTCCTCCTCGAATCGCCCCCAGAGGGGTGCCTCGGTCAGTGGGCGGCTCATCGGGGCCCCGGGGGAAGTAAAACCCGCTCAGCCGCCCTTCGAGGCGCCGCTGTGGGTTAGGTCGGGTCCGGGGGAACTCCGAACAAACAAAAACGAACTCTGTTTTTTTTCTGTTGGTGTTCTGTTGTTTTTTCTGGGGGAGGCGCCCAAGACGGCCCCAGAGGCGCTCAAGACGGTCCAAGAGGGGTCCAAGACGGCTCCAAGACGGTCCAATAGCGCCCTAAGACGGCCTAAGTTGGGTCCAAGACGGTCCAAGAGGACCCCAAGACGCCCCAACAGGCCCCCAAGACGCCCCAAGTGGCTTCCAAGAGGCTTCCCAAGAGGGCCGGAGGAGGCACACATCTCTGTTTTTTCATATGTTGTTGAAGGTTTTTCTGTGTTTCGCTTTATAAGGCGAAGAACGGCCGAAAACGGCCCGAGAGGCTCCAAGCATTGTCTCGAGACGGCCACAGAGGCACCCAGAAGGGCCCGAAAACGGTCCAAGAGAACCCCAAGACAGCCCAAGAGGGCCCTGGAACGGGCCGAGAGGGCCCCCCAGACGGCCCCAGAGGACCCCAAAACAGCCCAAGAGGGCACCAAGGCGCCTCCAAGAGAGCCACAAGAGGGCCCCAAGAGGCTCCCAAGAGGGCCCGAAGAGGCGGTGTGGGGACTGGGCTGCTCGGGTGTGTGGATTGGGCTGGCCCCAAGACGGCCCCAGAGGCCCCCAAAATTATCCAAAAGGGCCACCAAACCACTCCCAAGAATCCCCAGAGACGCCAAGTAACACCATGACTCCCAACAGCGAGCGGTGACGTAACAAGCTCTGAACACCAAGGCTCCCTAGGGCGCGGTGACGTGAAACTCTGAACAGCAACTCCCCACAGCGAGCTGTGACGTAAAAGTCTCTGAACACCAGGGCTCCCAACGGAGAGCGGCGACGCAACAAGCTGTTCACACCAAGGCTCTCAAGAGCGAAGGGTGCCATGAGCCCTCTCGGGCAAGTTCCTGAGGCGCTCTTTCCGTTTCCGTGCCGGCCCAGGTAACAGAAAGAGCGAGGTACGAGTGATGACGTTATAGTGTGGGGCGAAGCCCTAAAGGGAGGGGTTCCAGGGGAGGGGCGAAGGCCGCGGACATGGCCGCAGGGGGGCCGTCTTCCTGATATTTTTTCGAATGAAGCGGCTCGCGGTCGCCTTCGACGGCTCGTTTCCTTAGTTTTTTTCGAATGAAGCGGCTCCAGGGCCCCAAGACGGCCCAAGAGGGCCCCAAAAGGACCCAAAGACGGCTCCAAGAGAGCTTCGGCTGGCCTGCAGACGGTCCAAGAGAGCCCCGAGACGGCTCCAGAGACCCCCCAGAGGGCGCTCAAGAGGGCCTCTGGAGCCAAAAAGCATAGATTTTCCTCAAAGTTTTTGAAGGTTTTTCGGGTTCTCGCCTTTCCGGGTTCAGAAGGGTCCATCACGGCCCATGAGGTCCCAACGCTCGTCCCAAGACGGCCCCAGAGGCCCGCCAAAGAGGCGGAAAACGGTCCAAGAGGGCCCCCAGACGGCCTAAGACTGCCCAAGAGGCCCCAAAGGTCGTCCCAAGACGGCCCCAGAGGCCCCCAAAAGAATGGTCCAAGAGGGCCCTCAGACAGCCCGAGGGGCCCCACGACGGCCCAAGAGGGCCCCAAGACCGGGCCCGAAGAGGCGGTGTGGAGACTGGGCTGCTTGGGTGTGGGGTATGGGCTGGCCCCAAGACGGCCCAAAGAGACCCCCAAGAGGCCCCCAAGAGGGCCCAAGAGGTCCAAAACGGCCCTCAAGGGGGCCCCCAGAAGACCCCCAAGACGCCCTAGAGACGCCAAGTAACACCATGACTCCCAACAGCGAGCGGTGACGTAACAAGCTCTGAACACCAAGGCTCCCCAGAGCGCGGTGACGTAAAAGGTTCTGAGCAGCAAGGCGCCCCAAGCGCGAGCGGCCACGTAGAAGTCTCTGACCACCAGGGCTCCCAACAGAGAGCGGCGACGCAACAAGCTCTTCACACCAAGGCCCCCAAACGCGAAGGGTGCCGTGAGCCCTCTCGGGCAAGTTCCTGGTCCGCCCTTTCCGTTTCCGTGCCGGCCCAGGTGACGGAAAGAGCGAGGTACGAGTGATGACGTTATAGTGTGGGGCGAAGCCCTAAAGGGAGGGGTTCCAGAGGATGGGGCGAGGAGCGAGGACCCTGGATGTAGTGGCCAGCGTTCTTTGTATTTTTTGAGGGAAGCGGCTCCCGTGGCCCGTTTCTTTTTATTTTTTCGGGATGCCGCGGCCCAAGGGCTCCAAGACGGCCCAAGAGGGCCCCCAAACCGGTCCATGGGGCCCCAAGACGGCCCCAAGAGAGCCTCAGATGGCTTCCAGACGGTCCAAGAGAGCTTCGAGACGGCTCCAGATGCTCTCCAGAGGCTCCCGAGACGGCACCTAGGGGCAAGATACGTTGTGTAACGAGTTTGCTTGGCACTGTTCCATTTCATTCCGCTCCCTAGTCTTTCTGGCTCAATGGATTTGGCCCTGCGGGGGCTGCAGGCCTTTGCTCCTTGGGCCCCACTCAATTCTGTCGCTCGCTGCCCAGACTGCATTGTGTTGCCGACTGCCAGGTCAGCAGCGACATCGTGGAACTGCTTGGACGACAACTGGAGCGGTGCGGACCAGAACGACTGACGTGTCCAGCGTGTCCCACCTGCCCGCAGTTATTGTGCCCAGAGATAGGCTTCGCGCCGAGCACGTTCTTTGGAGGCGTGGCGTTCGGCGTGAGCTGCACGGTGCTCGCAGGGTTGGCGGCACGGCGCGCTGCTCGCTCGTCGGCCCTCAAGATCGATGGCAGCGCTCGGCCAGGCAAAACGTACGCTGCGCTGGCTGCAGAGTCGCCAAGTGGTGTCGAGGGTCCGCGCCTACTACGACCAGCACGATGACGATTGGCATGAGCGGATCATGCTGGCCCACATCAGTGATCATAGATTCGTGGGGTTCACCGCGCACTGGGACATGTATGATGGCGACAGGGCGGCGGCACTGCGGTTGCTGCCGCTGGGTCCTCGTGGCGGGATGCCAGTCCCCGCGCCGGGAGGCCGGGTGCTGCGGGCGAGCAACGCTTGTCCCTCGGGAGAGCTGCAGCAGCGGTGCGACGAGGCCACGCAGATGGTGGCGGAGATCCGCGCTGCGGAGGGCCTCCCAGACCCGCCGGTGGAGCCAAGGCCCTCGGCCGACACGGCTGCCCCGGCGGGGGCGATGGTGCCTGACGGCGCGGGCGGCGCAGAGGCAGCGGCAACCTCCTTGGGCCCCGCCGCGTCGGCAGCAGGAGCGCTGGCGGCGACGTGCCTGGCGCCCGCTGGGGCCGCTTGGCATGGCGGAGCTAGCGGGCCCTTGCGTGCGGCGGTCCTCGCGCCGCCAGCTGCCCCCTCGCCAGACGCGACTTGGGTGGCGGCGGAGACGCGTGGCGGCCCGGCGCGCGGGGCGCCCATCCCGCCCGCGCTGCTCACGGCAAAGGATCGGCCGCTGGCCACGCTGTGGGATCGCGGCGCGATCGTGCTCGGGACGGGGGCTTCGCTCGCCGTGGCAGTTGCCCACGCGCCCGAAGCGGAGCCGCCGGCGCTTGCCAGCGGCAGCGGGGACCTCCAGACGTTTCCAGACGTGTAGTCAGCGGGAGGCTCGCGCACCAGGTGCTTCCATGGCGCGGTGGCCAAGAGGTCCACGGCGGTCTTCCCGGATTGGAAGATCAAGAGGTTTAAGTCGGCGGCCTGGTTGCTGGAGAAGATCTCGGAGCCGGGGCACACGCCTCGGCGGAGGCACTCCAGGTGGAGGTCGGCCCAGGGGCTCACGGCTTCGGACGATGGAGTGGACCGCCAACTTGCCATCTCGGATGTCCTCACGGAGCTCACGACCAACGACCAGCTCCATGCAGGCGAGCGCGTGGTGGCGGAAATCCTGTGCCGGTGGTGTCAGCTCTGGAAGGGCATTTGCGCATCTTGCCTCCGCGAGGCCGAGGTTGGCCAGGGCGCTGCCCCGTGGCTCGACGAGAGGGCGATCTTCCTCGGCCAGGACAGGGGTCGGGGGTGGACGCTGGTCTGTCCTGCCCCTGAGAGCTGGGTGGCCGAGAAGCTCAGGGGGTAGGTGCGCCATCTGTAAGGAGCGCAGGAAGGAACGTGGAGAAAGGCTGCTGGAGAGAGGCGCTGACCCCAGCGCTGCCTCCGGCGACCAGGCGGCGGCTGCTGGGGCCAGGGCGCGCGGCCGCGGCCGCGGGCGCGGGTCCCGAGCCGCCATCTCGCGCCAGGGGGGCCCCCGGCCCTGGCGCGAGTTCGCAGGGGGGGCGAGGTGTGCCTGGCGGTGACGCCGCCTCGCTGGGTCCTGGCGATGTCGGTCTCGTTCAAAGAGACGTGTACCCATGCCGCTCGGTTCGGAGGTGCCCCAACGCTTAATGGGGTTCTCGGCCCTCGACGGCGAGCTCTCGCTGGGTCAGCGGCGCAAGGCCGCGCGCTGCAGGCGCCAGGGGCGCTGGATGCTGGAGGGCGTCTCGGCGCTCAACGAGCTGGGCGGTGGCGGTCGGGCGGCTGGGTGCAGCGGGCGGCCGAGCCTGGCGCAGCGTTCGGCGCTGCGTCATCTGGCCGAGGTTTACGCTGCAGTGCCGCCCAAGATTGATAATTGCACCAACCAGGAGGCGTTTCAGGCGCTTCTGGGGCATCGACCTGGCCGCGCTGATGAGCCGGCCATCGGGGCGAGAGCCGGCTACCAGCGCGGGAAGGTCTCTCTTCCCACCGGCGGTGCGGGGCAGGTCGACATTTTGCGGCTTCTGCCCGAGCGCCTGCAGTCCGCGCTGGAGTCAAGGCAAGGGTTACTGCTTGCAGAGCAGGATGCTGCTGCTGCTGCTGCGTTGGAGGAGGCCGATGCCACTTGTTACGTCGACAGCAGGCTGGCCCAGAGGGGCCGCGACTACAGACGATTCCTGCTGGGGCTTTTCGAGGCGGGGATCGTCGACATTTTGGAGCATGAAACGGATCGGAGGGAGGAGGCGGGCATCTTCTTCATGCCGCGCAGAGATGACAAGCTGAGGCTCATCTTTGATACCAGGAGGGCGAACTGTCACTTCAGGGCGCCCGAGTACACGCACTTGGCCTCTGGCGGCGCCCTGGGCAGCTTGGAGTGCGCGCCTGGCGAGGAGGTGCACTTGGCTGCGGGCGACGTGGAGGTCTGCTTCTACCAGTGCTTGCTGTCGGGCTGGGCCAGGAACTATTTTTGCCTGCCGAGCGTGGCGACCCACCTGTTGCCCGCTCGGCGGCTGGCCGCCCTGGGGCCTGTGGCCGCTGGGCGAGCCAGGGTCGCTTTTCGGGTAGGAGTGGTTCCCATGGACTGGAACTGGGCCGTGCACCTGGTGCAGACAGCGCACCTGGCCGTCTTGGCCTCGGTCTCGCCTGACAGCGCCTGGCTGGTTGACGAGCAGCCTGGCACTTGCCTCGCGGGGGATTTGGATGCGGCTGAGGTTCTGTGCATAGACAACTTCGCGGCCCTCAGCACCGGTCGCGAGACAGCGATGCGAGTGGTTGCCGAGGTGCTCGAAGCGCTGACCAGTGAGGGCGAGAGGGCGTCTTTGGACTTGGACGTCGTACTTCTCGGGTTCACGCTTGACTCGAAGACTGCTAGGTGGCGCCCTACGCCCAAAAAGTCCTGGAGGGCGCACGGCTGCATTCAGCGCTTACCGCGGCCAGGGCGACGCCTCACGGGGCGCCAGATGGAGAGGCTGGTGGGGCACATCGTCGCGCTGCTGCTGCTTCGGGGAGAGGTTCTTTGCCTCCTCAGCGCCGTCTATGTGTTCATCCGCGGGTCCTACGAGAAGGCGCAGCCGCTGTGGCCCAGCTGCCGGCAGGAGCTCAGGTGGGTGCTGGCCTTGCTGCCCAGTGTTCGCTGACGTGAAGAGGCCTTGGCACGCGGAAGTGGGGGCCTTCGACGCTTCCCCGCGGGGCGCGGGCGTCTGCACCTCGCGCTGGCCTCTAAGCGCGGCGCAGGCCACGGGCAGGCAGCCTGAGAGGCTGCGCTTCCGCAGGCCTGGCGACTGGTGGCCGCGCGGGATGCAGCCCTTGCTGCTGGCGCCATCGAGCTGTCGGACCCTGCTGCGCTCTTGCTGGGCCGTGCGGCGGGCTTCGCCGAGGTGAGCGCCGAGCTGCTGCGCGACGCCACCTGGGTCGCGGCTGTGGCGTGCATGTGGAGGCACAATCCACCGGCTGGAGAGTTCGGCGGGGATGCTCTGGCTGCGGCGCGCCCCTCGTAACTCTCGATGTCACGGGCATCGGTTGCTCGGCCTTGGAGACAACATGCCAATTATGTGCTCAGGAAACAGGTCGCGCCTCAGACTTCGGGCTCCTGTCAGGATGTCGCTGTTCGTTTGCCATCTCGGTCGCTTGCAACCTGAAGGTCACATTCAGGTGGGCCCCCTCAGAGATCAACCCTGCAGATGGTCCCTCAAGACGCTTTCAGACTGGTCCGGGGCCGTCTTGGCCCAAACAGTTGGAGGATTTCAGGCGTCACCGCGGCAGTCGCGATGCTGGAGATCCGCATGTTGCAGGCCGCTCCGCTGCTCGGGCTTCGGGGCCTGCTGGAGCTGGGAGGCGCTTCGCCGACCCTGAGGCCTGCCGCTGGCGGTGGCGGATCCGTCGTGAACAGAGCGCCGCCGCCGCCGCCTTCCGACCAGGAGCGGGTCCGCTTGCTGCACCGCCAGGGCTTTCCGGCTACCAACAGTGTGCGGCCGTCCACTCAGGTGCTCCACCTGGAGGTGTTGCGGCTGCTGGCAGGCTGGCCCACGCTAGAGGTGCTGCTCGTCCTGGCCCGTCGCGATGGGGGGCGGGGTGCTCGCGATCGCACTCTTCGTCATGCTGATGTTCGAGGGGTACCTCTGGCCTCTCGTGGCGCTGGCGCCGCGGGCAGCCCCGCTCGCGGGGCCCTGCGGGGCGCGCGGCAGTGCGGGCTCGCACATGTCGGTGGTGGTGGTGCACATGTCGGTGGTGGTGCACGTGGCAGACAGGCGAGATGGACCACACGGTGGTGCTCGCCCGCCCTCGGCAGCAGGCCCTGGCCTGGGCCTTGGCGCGCATTCGCAGCCTGCGCCCAGGCTCCTGGCGCCTGCGGTGGGACTTCGATTGCAACCACCTGCTGCAGCGCTTTGGCCAGGCACCCGAGGCTGTCGGAGCCAGCTGTTCAGCAGGCATGCTACACAGCCTCCGGCACGGCGGCGCCAGCCACGACCGCCTGATGGGCAGCCGCATGCTGATGGAGCAGTGAGGAAGCTGGCGCGCCTGCAACAGCGTGCTGCGCTACGGCAAGATCGGGCGAGTGGCGATCAAGTGAATGAGGGCCCCGGCTGCCCAACGCCAGGCCATCGAGAGTTTAGCAGCTGGGCTCGACGCCGCCTTCATTCAGTCCTCGAGACAGCGGTAAATAGTAGCACTGGTCGCGATTCACGTGTGTTCATACAACTATTTAGTGGGTCTGGCAACTTGGCGAGACACTTGCGTGAAGCCGGGCACGCTGTCATCGAGTGGGGCCTGTTGCGCGGCCGAGAGTTTGACTTAGTCCAGCCTGCCTCATTCGCTGTGCTTAGAGATTGGATTGAAAGTGGCAGGGTCAAAGCTTTGCTCATGGGCACGCCGTGCGAGACATTCTCGCAAGCTCGCAGAGGCGGCCCCGCTTCCCGTATACCCCGCCGTTTGCGGGATCGTGCTCACGTCTTTGGCTTGCCCAATCTGAGCGCTTCAGATCAGGCCGAGGTCGAGCTCGGGAATCTTCTTGCCGCGCGTGCTGTAAAGCTTTGGACCCTAGCTAGCACATTTGGTCTCCCAGTGGGTGAAGAGAATCCGTGTAGTAGTTGGCTGTGGCAGCTCCCTGACAGATTGCGTAGGCCTCTCTTCTACTCTCTCTTCCTTGAAGCCATCGTCGATCTGTGCGCTGCGGGTCGCCCCTGCCGCGCGCGCACGAAGTTTCAGTTTTTGCGCCGTCGCCCCTCTCCTTTGCCCCTGTCAATGAAATGCCACGGGGGAGGGGCTTGTGACTTTTCAGGGCAATTTTCTTTTGAGTTGTCCGGCAAAGATAAGGGATCCGTTGCCTTTCGCACGCGTCAAAAGGCTTCCTATCCTGATGCCATGCGTCGCCACCTCGCTCAGATGTCCTCGCAGACGATTCAGGCCAATATTGTTTTTCGCAAGTGGATGTTTTTTGCACGGGTGACCCAGTACAATGTTTGTAGGTGGGAACTGTGTGCTCTTGAGGTCGGGCGTTGGCCGCCTGCCGAAGCGCCCCTTTGCCAGGCTTCGTTTCCTCAAGCAGCGCACTGGAAAACAGAGAAGCAGATACGTTGTGTAATGAGTTTGCTTTGCACAGCTCCGTTTCATTCCGCTCTGTAGTCTTTCTGGCTCCCAGCGCCAGCCCACAGCCTCCAGAATTCCTTTCAGTGGGCCGTGGCCGCCCGCCAAAGCGTCCCCTGCCAGGCTTTGTTTCTTCAAGCAGTGCACTGGAAAATAGAGAAGCAACAACGCTGATTTGTTTGTGCTTCTTGCCGTTTTTTTTTTTTTTTTTTTTTTTTTTTTTTTTTTTTTTTTTTTTTTTTTTTTTTTTTTTTTTTTTTTTTTTGCCAAGAACGGCCCAAAACGGCCCGAGAGGCTCCAAAGATCGCCCCAACATTGCCCCTGAGGCTTCCGAAAGGGCCCGAAAACAGTCCAAGAGGGCCCAAGACAACCCCAGTGGGGCCCCAAACGGCCCAAAAGGGCTCCACGACGGCCCAAGAGTGCTCCAAGACGGCCTTCAGAAAGCCCCAAGAGGGCCTTCCATCCAAGACGCCCCAAGAATGTCCAAAGGGGCCCGAAGACGGCCCAAATGTGCCCCAAAAGGCCCCCCAAGGGTTCCACAAGGGCCCCCCAAAAAGACCCCGACGAGGCCTATGAGACAATCAAGAACACCATGGCTCCCAACACCGAGCGGTGACGTAACAAGCTCTTGACACCAAGGCTCCCCAGGGCGCGGTGGCGCAAGGAACTCTGAACAGCAAGGCTCCCAAAAGCGAGCGGCAACGCGACAGTCTCTGAACACCAGGGCTCCCAACGGAGAGCGGCGACGTAACGAGCTCTTCGCCT